TTTCAAAAACTAAAGGGAACTAAATGCACAAACAGCCAATGCCTTCTAAGTGACAATGCAGAGGTTCTCAGCCTTCAAAGCACATTGGAATCACCTGGTGCATTTTTTTTGCTTTTAATCCTCACCTGAGGATATTTTTCACTGATTTTCAGATGGGGGTGGGGGTGGAGAGAGACATTGATTTGTTGTCTCCCGCACAACCCCAACCAGGGCTGGGGACCAAACTGCAACTGAGGAACGAGCCCTTGGCCAGTATCGAACCCGCGACTCTTTGGTCTGCGGGCCGAAGCTCTAACCATTGAGCAAAACTGGCCAGGGCAACCTGGTACATGTTTTTAAAAATACAGATTTCTGGCCCTGGCTAGTTTGGCTCAGCGGTTAGAGCGTCGGCCTGCGGTCCGGAGAGACCCGGGTTCGGTTCCCGCTAAGGGCATGTACCTCGGTTGCAGTTTGTCCCCGGCCCTGGTTGGTCGTGCGGGTGGCAGCCACTCGATGTGTCCCTTCACGTCGATGTTTCTCTCTCTCTCTCCCTTCCTCCCGCTCTATCTGTACAAAAAAAATGGAAAAATATCCTCGGGTGAGGATAAAAAAAAAAAAAAAAATACAGATTTCTGGGCCCAACCTATAGATATTTAGTTTCGGTTTGACTAGAGTAAGATCTAGGCATCAGTTTTGTTTTTTTTAACTTCCAGGATTATTTTAATGTGCAGCCATTATTGAAACCAGAAGGTTAACTACAGTGAGAGCCATATTTATTTGCCATATGGTGACAGCAATTAGCTGATTTAAGATACTTAAAGGAAGAAGCCTCAGAAGAATGTGGAGGAAATTATGGATAGCTGACAGAATATGCCCCGGGCCCATGTTTCCAGGGCTTCCAATAAAGCTATATAGGCTGAATGATGTTCACAAGCAATTTCTGCTTATTAATGATTATGGTGCTCATGTTTTGATTTGCACATTAGTATTGCAGGTGATTTTGCAGATTGTTATCTAAATATGTTGACACCTATAATTCAGTTTTTTTTATATTCCTGCCTTTCTTGTAACCTCTGTGAACACTATATATGACCTTTAGTTCACTCTGTATTGGAAATTTACAAAAATAATTAAAAATTCGAAGAGGAAGTGAGAACTTTTTTGCAATTGAGGGTTATTCACATTATGTGTTATGTTGTATATGGATATTTAATTATAGTTGAAAGGTAAGGTTTGATTTTTTTTTTCTTCTAACATTTATAGGTTAACTGTTAATTTGATAGTCCTAGGTAAAGATTTAAAGCCTTTGGCACAGACAAGCAGTGTGGTGTTGCTGAAGGAAAAGTACAAAACAGAAGGGCTAGAGATGAGGCTGGAAAGATCATTCTAGAGGAGGCAAAGGAGGACCTTGTGCACCATGCTTGAGAACTTACACTTTGTCCTATATGGCAGGAGATAGCCAAAGGGGATTTTTTTTTTTTTTTTTTTTTTTTTGGTACATGCCCCTAGTCTCTAGGGCCCAGCGGGAACTGAACCTGGGACTCTCTGGTCCGCGGGCTGAAGCTCCAACCACTGAGCCAAACCCGCCAGGGTGGGGATTTTTAAAAGGGGAATAGATGGTAATGTCATATTCATGTTTTATATACCTCTGGCTGGAATATAAAGGATAATTTAACCCTGGCTGGTGTGGTTTAGTGGTTATAGTTATAACATCTGCCTACACACCAAAGGAATGCAAGTTCGATTCCCGGTAGGGGCATGTACCTTGGTTGTAGGTTTAATCCCTGGCCCTGGTAGAGGCATGTGCGAGGGGCAGCCAATCTATGTGTGTGTCTCATATCAATGTTTCTCTTCTGCCCCCCCCTCCATTCCACTCTCTAAAAATCAGTGGAGAAAAATATCCTTGGCTAAGAATTAACAAAAAGAAAAAGGGTAGTTTAGAGGGGCCTAAAAAACAAGAATATTGGTTAGATTGACTAGTTGATCATAAAAACACACACAGAGATGATGAGAGCCTAGCTGAGGAATGAGGAAGATGAACAAATCTGAGAAATATTTAACAGGCAGGGCTTGATTCATCAGGGATAGTGATGAGTCAGGGTGACTCCTAGGTTTCTGGTATGGTGAGTGGCTAAATGATGGCGCCATTAACTAAGAGAAAACAAAAGGATGGATGAGAAAGCTTAGGAAATGGAAGATAATTCAGTCTTATTTATTTATTTATTTATTTATTTTTTACAGATGTTTCTCCTTTTTTCCCCATTGAAACCCTCATTCCAACCCCCCCCCCCCAGCATTATTGTCTGTTTTCATTGGTTATGCATATAAGTTCTTTGGTTTATCTCTTCCTTCTCCCCTGCCCCCCTCCAATAATTCAGTCTTCAACACATTGATTATGAGTGTCTGGGATATTCAAAGGGATGCCTTTCACAAGCAATTGGATATTTGAATCTGCTACTCAAGGAAGAGGTCAGGCCTAGAGGTACTTGGAGATACAGGTGCTGTCAGAATAGTGAGAGTCAATGAGATCATCCAAGCAAAGCAAAATCACGACTGTTAGAATACATGAATATTTAGTATAAGTGAGTAGAGGAGATAAAGACTTAACAAGAAAATGGAGGAGGACTGGTCATAAAAATAGAACTGAGAGAGATTATGTGGGTGTCAGCAAGTCAAATACAGCATTTTACATAAATCATTCTTTCCAATATAACATTTAGGAGCCTTCCTCATTAGAGTGTAAGGTCTTCAGGGTTGGGAACCTTGCGTTCTCTTCCCATTTGGGACAGTTAATTTCTACGGTGACTGTTCACAAACACCCAGAATTGTTAGGGCTCTGAAGAAAAGAGGGATAAAATAGTATCAAATAATAGCAGAGTGGTCCAAGGAGATTTAGACTGGATTTGGCCGTTTGAAAGCAGTTGCAGTAGAGAAAATAAAGCCAGATCGTGGGTTGAAAGTGAGTGGGAATTGAGAAAGTGGAGAAAGCCAAGATACTTATCTCAGTAGATAAGTAGACTAAGGATGGTAGTTTCTCCAGGGGCCACAATTCTCTTCAGATTGATTGTTTTGCTACAACTTTGTCTCATATTTTTCATTTTATATGTCTATGTGTAGTTTTTATAGGTACCTTATACATATATAAATGTGCACTGTTTTTAAATGAAGTGCAGAGAAAAAAAAAAAACTTTTAAAAAAAATGATAGTGTTATTACATTGAGTCTGTATCAGCTCTGTTAAAACTACACACTAAGAGGAGCTTAAAAACACCCAGTGCAGTATAGATTGAAGAAAGAGAAGGAAACAATGCAGATAAAAAGTCTAAGACTAGAAGTTCTAAAAACCCAGATCCAAAATTCTCTTGCTCAGTATCCCAGCTCGTCATCTGCTTTCACACTATGCAGCCGTAGAGTTAATGAACAGTCCACAAGACCATCCTCATTTCTGACACTAATGGCAAGTTTGGGTTTCCAAGATGACCCTCAGGTTCAATAATTTACTAGGATTCACAGAATTCACTAAAAGCTGTTATGCCCATGGTTGTGATTTAGTACAGTAAAGGTATTCAGATTAAAATCAGCCAAGGGAAGAGACACATAGTGCTGAGTCCAGGCGTCTTCTAAATGGAGAGCTTCCAATCGTCCCCTCTCCTAGACAGTGTTGACTCCTGACAAGAAGAAGAGACAATATGCATGGAGTAATGTAATGCCAACCACGGAAGTTCACTTGATCCTTGATATCCATAGGCTTTATTGGAGCTCTGTCACATAGATACTGTTGACTGCTCTATAGCTGACCTCAGGCTCCAACTCCTCTAGAGATCAACTGATAACACATGACCCAAAACCCCCACCATAAATCACACTGTTAAAAATCTGGTGTGACCCAAGACTCCAGGTATCAGGCATGACATTCCAAGTGCTTAGAGATTACTTCCCAGGAACCAAGGACAAAGGCCAGACCTCTCTTTGGGCAAAATTAAATTCTTTACTGCACAAGGGCCATTGATTTTTTTTAAACCTAGGTAGTACCTATCTCATAGGGAAGTTGTGAAGATTGAATAAGACACTGGATCATAAAATTACTCTGGTGTCCTCAGGTTTTCTGAGGTTATATATAGCTATTAGAAATGGAGCTAATATTTAAACTCAGGGCTTTGTAACTCCAAAGCTGATAGTAGTTTTGCATTGTATTTATATTATTTAAAACTAGAAATAAATGGAATGAAAAATGTTCATTCTATTTGACATTTAAATTGGCGGCTTTCTATAGAGTATTAGAGGCTACTACTAATGCCATATTGCAGAGAACTGAGGAGTGAGTGGGAAGATGAGAAAATGGAGACAATTGAGTATTAATTAGACAGATAATCTAAAAGTTTTGTCAAGGGAAATGGGAAATGAAAAGGTAGCAAGAAGGATTGAAAGATTAAAGAATAGGTTTTGATGATTATTTTTAAAGATGAGAGCCTTTTTAACATGCATCATACAGAGACTATACTAGTTTCTTTGCTGATGTTACCGTGTTTAATTCTTATTTACATTTGAAGTAGATACCACATTTTGCTGTAAAATAGGATCAAGTGAGCTTCCCTGATTTTCAAACCATGTTTGAAAAAAATGAGGCTCATAGAGGTTATGCAATATTGGTAATAAAATGGAAATAAATTCATAACAGTGCTTGGCACAGTAAGCACTCAGTAAATGCTAGATATTGTCACGTATTTTAAAATTAATTCCCATTTAGTAAGTAGGGATTTAATGAAATTTTAGGGGAGCTACCACACTTAATTTCTATTATTTCTTAATTTTTTTCAAAACTGCTTTTTTTCTAGCTATTTAATTGTTACATCAGAAATAAAGTTTAAATATATTCCTACTCAAATGGAGTACTCTACATTATATTTTTATTCATTAACTTTAGGTATTATGAGTTATTTTAGGTATTATGAGTTATAAAATATTGTAATATTTTAGGTGTTATGCTTTATGTTTTATGCATTCTTTTTTTTTTAACTCTAGAATTACGCAGCCACCATGTCGAGCAAAAAGGCAAAGACCAAGACCACCAAGAAGCGCCCCCAGCGTGCAACATCCAATGTGTTCGCCATGTTTGACCAATCACAGATTCAGGAGTTTAAAGAGGCCTTCAACATGATTGATCAGAATAGAGATGGTTTCATTGACAAGGAAGATTTGCATGACATGCTTGCTTCTCTAGGTAGACTTTTATATTCTTAATATGCCTGCTTTCCTGAAGTAATAATTTAGCATTTTATGTATTACTTTCTGTGTGATGTCTAAATATTCCCGTCTTGTCTTCAAAGCCTATTGAGAGATGGTTAGGTGGGAGGTGCCATGTTAGGGCTTGACCAGTCATGAGAGTATAAGCAGGTACTTGGCCAGACAAGCCTTAGTTCCTCTCAGCTAAATACTATAGGTCTACCGGGTGAAAAGCCAGGGAACGACTAGGTGGTAAAATATCAGAATTTAAAATGTATAACTAATAAGATAGCATAGTTAGTAATAAAGGTTGAGGACAGATTATAGATAGGAAGTGACAATAATGAATGATGACCGTCTCGGGAGCAAGGACAGTGCTACAGGAAAGGGGGCGTTCACAATTTTATTTATAAATTTTTTTATAACTAAAGTAAAGAAAATATAAAGATAAGAGATTTAAAGTAAACATAAACCTCCCTTTGTTATTTTGGTTATTATTGGTGTTATTTTATTATTCTTTGTATGATTTTGTTATTTGTATTTTTGTTGTTGTTAATCTTTACCTTAGGATATTTTTTCCATTGATTCTTAGAGAGAGTGGACTGAAGGGGAGAGAGAGAAACATCAGTGTGAGAGAGAAACATCAATTGGTTGCCTCTTGCACGTGCCCGGATCAAACCCATGACCCTTCGATGCGCTGACAGATGCTCAGACCACTTAACCACACCATCCAGGGCTGCTGTTGTTTGTTTTGATCTTAAAAAGAAGGAGGGTTCTCTATGTTCTGCATTGAGTCAACACTAATTTTATAGTTGTGGAGAAAGGAATGGTAAGCTTAATTCTTGATAGACCTGAGTGACTGGCATGGCATAGGGTGCATCTCAGGGATGGCCTCCAATTAGGCTCTACACTCTGGAGTGTTCTTGTGCTTGACTGTTAGCCAGAGAGCAAAAGAAAAAGAGGTGGTTATTTTTTTCTGTTTAGTAACCATAGCACGATTTGTTCCTGTCTTTTTTTTTTTTTTTTCCTAGCATAATATTTTGAAAATTTTTAAGCCTACAAATAATTGAACAGAATAATGAACATATAGACATCCTTTACCTAGATTCACCAATTATTAACATTTTGCAACATTTCCTTATTTAAAGCAAAAGTAGAATCAAGATACTGATCTAATTTGTTGACTTGCAGGTAGGTTCCACCCCAGTGTTTTCCACTTAGAATAGCTAATTAAGTATGCTCCCTGGACACGTCACTGCTGAAGGAGCCCACTGAGGAAAATTGAGGGACTTAATTATATTATAAAGATTGGACACTCAAGACTATATCATGATCATAGATGTTCAATTAATTTATGAGTGATGGTAGATTAAGAGGCTGACTTTGGAGCCTTCTATTTTGGGGAACCTTGTCCTTTTAAGACATGTATGCACCTTTCAAATCCACAAATTATATTGGTTGCCTTGAATGGGTTCCTAGGTATTTGGCCAATTCATTTTAAGTCCCTGTCTTTTTTGTACCCTTGTTCTCTTGACACCTGTGGATTACACTTTTTCCCCCATAAAAATTGCTACAAGAGAGTTGGGTTAAATCTGAAGGTAGAAAAGTAGATCTTTTTAGCTACTTTTACTTATTCAGTGCATCTTGAGATTAATTTTGGGCTATTCTTTGTATGGTGTTTTGAGTAGGTATAAGTGAAGATTGTAAGGCAGTAAGATAGATGCCAACTTGATATTTAAATTTCACTCAAATTCCCAAGATTAAAACTTTACATATGAACCATCATAATTCTAGATTTGACTATCGTTAGCACTTAGTTGGGTGTAATATTGAGGTACCTCCTAAGATAATGAGTGTCTAACTTATAGATGTTCTTTTCATGGAGAATCATATAAACTTACTGTTGGATGGGACCTTTCCGATACCAAATTTAATCAGTCCATTTTACAGATTAAAAAAGTAAACCCTGGCCCGGCCAGTGTGGCTCACTGGTTGAGCGTCCACCCATGCACCCAGAGGTCGCTGGTTCAATTCCCGATCAGAGCACATGCCCAAGTTGTGGGCCAGATCCCCAGTGGGGAGGCATACAGGAGGCGGCCAATTAATGTTGTCTCTCATCGATGTTTCCCTCTCTCTCTCTCTCTCTCTCTCTCTCTCTCTCTCTCTCTCAAATCAATAAAGAAAAAAGAAAGTTAAAAAAAAAATAAGTAAACCCTAGACACCTGCCACCTTCTCCCAGGTCACACAGCCAGTGGCAGAACTGAGATGCATTGTTGCTTTTCCTACACCATGGGGGCCTCACAAATGCCCAGACAGAGAGAATCCCTTTGTTATTCCTACCATTATCTGGCCATCCCAGAGGAATTTCTCTAAATTTTGAGGGAAGGATCAGGGCAGTTTCCTCACCACTGTACTAGAAGAGGGAAAAGTGCTGTCAGTTGGAACCAAGGTTAAAATTTCAATTATAAACAATACTAAATGAGAATGCAGTTTAGTGACTTGAATCAACAGCATTTGGTGATATGGCTGGCAACCAGAGTTTGTAACATTGTTCAAAATGATCTCCCAGTTTTAAACCAACCTAACAGTTTTTGCTTAAATGACCAACTAAAAAAAATTTTGAAGTATACCAATTCGTGCACAACTGTACCACAATTGGAAATAATGAATATTTAGATTTGTTTAAATGGTATTGAAATAACCTGATGGACCTTTCATGTTATCAACATTCACGATATAATAATATGGCATTGCTTGGACCATAGTTTCAGGTATTTGTTTTGTTTAAAATAGTGAAGGAAAAGTTACAGAAAGTATCATCAGTAAATGAACAATATTCAACCTAAGCTCATTTTTATACATGATTTTTTATAATGGTGTGTCATATTTTTATGATGTCAAAAATTATCTTTTAAAATGTTCATAATGCAGTTAATTGAAAAATTAGTTTCATGTGAAGATGATGTGATATAACTTCAAAAAATATGTTGGGGAGCATAACAATAACAAAACAATTATTTGGTGAAATTTGTTCTTTGTTCTTAAATGTTAAAATGTGAACTCTTATAGGGAAGAATCCAACGGATGCATACCTCGATGCCATGATGAATGAGGCACCAGGTCCCATAAATTTCACCATGTTCCTCACGATGTTTGGTGAGAAGTTAAATGGCACAGATCCAGAAGATGTCATCAGAAATGCTTTTGCTTGCTTTGATGAAGAAGCAACTGGTGGGTGCTGTTTGTTTGTGTCCTTATTTTAGATTACCTGAATTTTAGGAAATGAAAAAGATTTGTAAAATACACTTATTTTAAAATGACTAAAGGGAGCCCTGGCCAGTTTGGCTTAGCGGGTTAGAGCATCGGCCGTGGACCGGAGGGTCTCTCTTGGTTTCTATTCCTGGTCAAGGACATGTACCCAAGTTGCAGGTTCAATCCCAGGCCCTGGTCGGGGTCGTTCAGGAGGCAACCAATTGATGTATCTCTCTTACAGTGTCTCTTTCTCCCTCCCTCCCTCCCTTCCACTTTATCTAAACAAATCAATGGGAAAATATCAATCAATCAATAAATAAATGAAATGAATAAAGAGGAACTATCATTTACAGTGGGATGGTATAACTGAGAATGACTGGGACACAGGTGTATGTAGGTAATAAAGCTACACAATTTGTGGTGTTAATCTTTGAATTTGGATCTGAGCTTCCTGAAAGCCAAAGAGAATTGTCTGTTAAACAGTATTTCTTAAACAATGAAAGTAACTTCTTCAAGAGACTAATAATCACACCAGAAAGTATACAGTCATACACCGCATAATGCCATTTTGATTAAGGACCAGTAGCAGGTACAATGGTGTACCCACAAGATTATAATGGAGCTGAAAAATTGTTGTCGCCCTAGTGTCAGCATAGCCATTATAACATTGTAGCATGCGCATTATGCACTTGTTTGTGGTGAGGCTGGTGTAAACAAACCTGTGCTGCCAGTTGTATAAAAGTATAGCACATACAATTATGTACAGTACAGAATACTGATAATGATAATGAATGACTATGTTACCATATATATACTATATAGTTTATATATTTACTATACTATATTTAAAATGTTTATTGATTTTAGAGAGAGGGAGAAACATTGATTTCTTATTTCACTTATTTATGCATTGATTGGTTAATTTTTGAATTTGCCCTAGCCAGAGATTGAACCTTCAATCTCTAACCAACTGAGCTACCCAGTCAGGGCTATACTGCACTACACTTTTTATTGTTGCTTTAGAGTATACTTTTTAGTATGCTGTGTTACATCAGCATCAACCTCATGCATCTTGTGTTTGTTGCATCTCTTCATTGCATCATTTTCTCTTGTGCTTGATTTAATCTCATGTTGTTTTGTACAGACTTGTAGCCTGGAGCAATAGGCTAAACCTAAAGCTAGGTGTATACTAGGTTGTACCATCTAGGTTTGTATAAGTATACTCTGATCGTACAACAACGAAATCTAATGATGTGTTTCTCAGAATGTATCCCCTTTTGAAGCAGCACATAACTGTAGTTAACTAATGAGCTTTTAAAATGTTAAGGGGTTTTTTCTTCTCGTTTTTAAGTGTTGTAAAGCCTATTCACTTTTCTTCTTTCATTTTAGTCTTTTCTTCTGTATTAACCCTACTTTTTTTTTAATCCTCACCCAAGGATATTTCTCCATTTATCTTCAGATAGAGAGGGAGGGAGAGGGAGAGAGAGACAGAGAGAGAGAAGGAAATATCGATGTGAGAGAGACACATTGATTGGTTGCCTCCTGCATGACCCTGACCAGGGCTGGGGACTGAACCTACAACCCAGGTACATGCCCTTAACCGGAATCAAACCCGTGACTCTTTGGTCCGTGGGCTGAGGCTCTAACCTCTGAACCAAACCAGCCAGGGGTATATTAATTCAGATACCCACATCCCCTCTTCAGATATACCTTGCACCCTATTCCTGCTTCACCATTTCTACCTTCATATAAATATGTATGTACTGAAATATTTTGTAATATTGACCTAGTGTAGAAATTAACCATTGAAGTATTCATGACTCCCTTCTTTCTATGTCTTCCAGGCACCATTCAGGAAGATTACCTGAGAGAGCTGCTGACAACAATGGGAGATCGGTTTACAGATGAGGAAGTGGATGAGCTGTACAGAGAAGCACCTATTGACAAAAAGGGAAATTTCAATTACATTGAGTTCACGCGCATCCTTAAACATGGAGCTAAAGATAAAGATGACTGAAAGAACTTTAGCTAACACCTTCCAATTACTTTGTCTTACTCTGTTTTATTTTCTCTACACTTTCCCCCATCCTTATAGACCTGTTGCATGCAGCTTAGTTTCACAGCTTTGCCTCTTTTTTTTTTTGATGTATTTATTCTAGACCTTTCTGCCACTTAGCCCTTATATAATCAGACTGAAGATGGGGATAAGGTTGTAAATTGTGTTGAAAAAGAGTTTGCAAATAAAAATCAACAAATGTGAAAGCCCAGGAAAATATATTTCAGTATTTCTGGTTTTGCTGGATTTTTACATTTTGTATAATAAAAATGCTATTTTTAAATAAAGATTATGCTGACTCAAATGGAATATAATGAAAAGTTAAATAAGTAGTAGGTGGGGGTAGTCCTATTTTCATATTTGCAACTTTATGTAATTTAGATTTGATAGTTAAACTGATTTTTTCACATGTATGGGACAATGTTCTTCAGAACTTTTAAGTAAAAATTAACATTATTTAGTAAAAACTAGTTAGCCTTTGTTTTTTGTAGGGAGTCAGATTTTTCAAACTACTGAATTATAAATATAGAATGTATCTGGGAAAACACTTAACATTTTATTGATCTAAGAGTCTAAGATGAGGCAAAAAACTGAAAAAAAGAACCTTTACTGTATGTAAAACATTGCACATAGACAATTTTATTTAATTTATTTAAATTTTTATGTTTTTATTGATTTTTTAGCGAGAAAGATAGAAACATCGATATGAGAGAGAAACATCAATTGGCTGCCTCCTGCACACCCCTCACTTGGGGACCAAGCCCAGAACCTGGGCATGTGCCCCGACTGGGCATCGAACTGGCACTTCTCAGTCCACTGAGCCATACCAGCCAGGCACACATAGATGATTTTGATGGAATCTTCTCAACAACCTTGTGAAATAGATTTCTATTAGCCTTGTACTTAAGGTCAGGGAGCTGAGTTCTGAGTAGCCGAGGGATTGATCAGAGTCACTGTTGTAAATTTGAGAGCTGGAATTCTAACCTAGGATGCCTAACTCCAGAGTTTAGAGTGCTGTTTTTATGAGAAGCTCCAAATGTCTAAAAGGTCAAAAAGTTTCCTTTACATTCTAACATAATTTTGTAGTCATCATTGAAATTTAAAATACATTATTTGAACAGAATTTCAGAAAATTCTGGAAAAAATTCCAGGTAAAAAACAGAAGACAAGATTATAATACAATGTTGGAAGGCAATTCATGTGTAGATTGTAGGGAAGGACTAACAGACAAGGCTTCTATGAGCTTGTTTAAAATCCTCAAAGCCAAGCAATATTAGAAGTAGGAGAAAATTCTAATAAAGGAAAAAAATCTATTAAAAGGTTTCCAGTGTGGTTTAACATCTATTCCCTCACTTAAAAGTGTTCTTTTGGTATATTGTTTGCTTAAAATTACATACCGTTTAATATTTGTGTTTTAGAGCTTGGTGTGATAGGCAAATCCTGGTCACTTGCTGCTGTCACTTAATTTTTCTAGACTTCCTTTACATCTTTAAAATGAGAGCAGTTCCACTCCCGTGGTCTAGTACAGTGTTTCACAGTTCATAAGAGCTTTTATATTTGTTGTCTAACCCTCATGGCCCACACAGTTAGGGCAGGTATTATTCCTGATTGTTTTTATGAGGGCTGAAGTTGAGAAAAGCCATAGCATTTATTCAAGGTCCCACAAATACAAGAATCCACATCTGGCTCTGGCTGGGTAGCTCGATTGGAACATTGTCCTGATGCACCAAGGTTGCAAGTTCAGTCCCCTGTCAGGGAATCAACCAATGAATGCATAGATGAATTCTCCCCCCTTAAATCAATCAATAAAAATTTAATGAAAAGCTGCATCTCGCTGCCTTTTTCATTTCCAAGCTTAAAGTCACCATGCAGTCTCAAAACCAGTGATGAATCATTATGTTTAAGGAAAGGGAGAAATAAATGGATAATTTTGATCACAATCACCTGTTGTGTGCCAGGTACTGTTTTAAGTGTGGGTGATAATGGGGTGGGTGGTGGTGTAAGATGGACAAGGAATTGCTGCCCTCCTGAGGCTCCCATTGTCTAGTGAGAGAGGCTCAATAAGTCATATAGAAGTACTGGGGCAGAGGGCCTTAAGTGTGGTAAGCTGAGATCTGAATGAAAGGAAGGACCCCATGGATGAACAGGGCGGGGCTATCCATGCAAAGGAGATGGGTCATTTCAAGGCAGGTGTAGCCAGGAGCATGAGAACATAGGATGGCATTTGCTGTGTAGTCTAAGTGTGACATCAAGGGCTTTGGGCAGGAAAGAAATGTAAGTTATGTTTTTTAAACAACCTTCCTGCTTTGTATAGAATGGAGGGGCTAGAATAGATAGAAACAAGGATTTCTGTTAGGAGGCTATCACTTTCCAGGCAAGATACGAGGGTGGCTTGGGCTGGGGCAATGGCAGAGGAGGTGGCTATAACATGCCACTCCTTGTCCTACAAGTTTCTCCACTCCAGCCTTGCCTTGTTACCGTCTCTTTGGCATCATTTTAATTGAACTTATTCTATTGCTTTGTTTAAAGCTAGATTTGAAAGACTGGGGGGAGTTGTTCAAGATTAAAAACAAGAAAAATTTAGTTTTTTTAAATGAATTTAGTTTTTTTATTTCATTGTAATTTTAATATTTTTCAATTACAGTTGGCATTCTATATCATACTAGTTTTAGGTGTATAGTATAGTGGTTACACGTTTATATAACTTACCAAGTGATTCCCCCACAAGTCTAATACCCACCTGGCACCACACATAGTTATTACAATATTATTGACTATATTCCCTATGCTACATTTTACATCCCCATGACTATTTTCTGACTGCTAATTTGTACTTCTTAATCCCTTCAATGTTTGAATGCTTTATGTTGACTTGACGTATCCCATTTGTTTAATCTATAGTATTGATGGAAAGTTGTGGAATTCAGTTTAGGCACCTAGGCTGGGATTTTATTTCTCTCTAGTGTCCAATAAATATAAATGATGACAATGAAAACTCTATTTAATATTTCTCTCTTGAGAACCACATAGTGATGATCTCCTAAGTTGACAATTGATCCCTTGGCCATCGCAGTGGGAATGTGTGTGTGCATACGTGTGTAATGTAGTTAAGACTACTTAATGCTTACTATGTATTAAGCATGTTACACTACTCTCCTTTGAGATAGGTAGTTTGATTATCCCTGTTCTACAGATGAAACACTGAAGAGTAGGGAAGTTACTATCCAAGGTCACCTAACTATTAAGCAGTGGGACCATAATTTGGGTCTAGGCAGTGTAATTCCAGCATCTGCCCTTGGAGGAAAATGATTTTGGAAATAACACCTGAAATTTCTTATCATCATAGAGGAGTTTTTATTTTTTTATTGTTTTGTTTTGTTTTTTATCCTCATCCCTTGAAGACATTTTTCCATTTTTTGTACAGACAGAGTGGGAGGGAGAGAGAGGAAGAGAGAGAGAGGGAAACATCGATGTGAAAGGGACACATCGAGTGGCTGCCACCCACACGACCAACCAGGGCCGGGGACAAACTGCAACCGAGGTACGTGCTCTTAGCGGGAACCGAACCCAGGTCTCTCCAGACCGCAGGCGGACGCTCTAACCACTGAGCCAAACTGGCCAGGGCCATAGAGGAGTTTTTAAAGCATTTGCTACTGCATTTGTTCTTCAAAACTCTAGGAGGTAGATAAGGTAGTCATTGTTATCCCATTTTATGGTGAGAATACTGAGTTGCAGAGTTACTTGACTTGCTCAAATTTATATACCTAGACAGTGTCTTAGCCAAGACCAGCTTCTAATCTGAGTGAGATACAACTCTCATTCTGAATAAACATGATGCTGGGGCATATTTCCTCATGGACATTGCTAACTAGCTCATTAAAACTCTAATTAATGAATGATTACTGATACCTACAGCCTGACTAAAATTTTTTTTACTTTATACTATATATCATATTTATGAAAGCCATTGATATTTACAATGAAATTATATTTAATTATACACTTAATGAATCTGCTTTCCTGATTAAATAATTTCACAAAAAAAATTTTAAAGTTCAATATATATATGAATAAAAACTTGAATAATGAAATTTCTTGATTGTAAATTTGCTTGTTTGGTTTTTTTACATTTTATGTTTTAGAAAACAGGATGTCTTACAGTCAATGTTTATATTTAATATTTTTATCCTGAAAAGTAATTGTATCAATGTTGCACCTCAACATTGATAGGTCTTAAACATGGTTTTTGAAATATAAACATACAGAAAAATCTGGTGTAAATAGGGCCCATAAATATGTCTTCCTGGAAATATGAATAAAGTTTAGAAAGTTTATCACATACTGAAAATTTGAGAAAAAATTTCTTAGCAAAATGGTGAGGATCACAGGTTGCACTCTGTACTTAATCTCTTAGGTGAATCTTAAATAACAGATGTCATATGCAATTTTAGAGACAATAACTAAAAGTGTCACTAGATGGCACTATTATTCTTGGTAGTGTAGTAACCTAGTCCCTAGTGAACTGGAGAGGGATAAAGCAGAATATAAATGTGTAGAGAACACTAATTCCAGTAATGCTATAACTTTGTAATTGATGACAAAGTCTGTCACAGTGAAATTCATACTATTTCATGAGCCCCAAAATGTAGGGAGCAATCTCTAGAACTCCTTTTTACAATGCTGAATTCATTCATCCATTGACAAATATTTATTGTCTGGAAAGTGTTCTAATCTCAGTGATGCTCTGAATATTTTCACACTGAAGTAACAACTTTTGTTGAAAATGGCTTTGCTCCTGTAAGACCTGACTCCACTTACTGATTGGGTCATCCTGCACAAGTCATTATTATCACCATCACTTCTATTTTAGAGATGAGAAGACTACAGCACAGAGCCAGTGAATGTATGTGCAATGTTTTGTAAAATTGTGCTTTCTTTTTTTTTTATCCTCACCCGAGGACATTTTTTCGTTTTTTGTTCACATAGAGTGGGAGGGAGAGAGAGGAAGAGAGAGAGAGAGAAACATCGATGTGAAAGGGACACATCGAGTGGCTGCCACCCGCACAACCCAACCAGGGCTGGTGACAAACTGCAACCGAGGTACGTGCCCTTAGCAAGAACCAAACCCAGGTCTCTCTGGACTGTAGGCCGAAGCCCTAACTGCTGAGCCAAACCGGCTAGGGCAAATCATGCTTTCTATATGAATATTATTACTCCCTCAAAAAATGTTGAGAACTATTTCTATTAGTTCTCTATAATATATTCTATTAAATCACACAATCTAAGCTTATTAAGATCAGCCCCAACACA